AGTACTGAAATAATTATTTCATAATTTTCTTGGAAAATGGTATTTTCAAAGGACTGAGTGATGAATAACTTAGGAAGAACTTAAAAAAAAAAAAAAGGAACAGGGATAATAATATGGCAGTGTAAAAAGATAGAGGTCAGCAAAGGGGAAGAGCACCTTTGGAAGATACCTAAACTCATGCTGGCTGAACACAGTGGATCTCATTAAGACAGATACAGAATCTGACTTCCTAGGACCTTCTCAGAGCAAGTCAGATGACACAGAAGGTAGACCACAAAGCTGGTCAGCTCCAAATTCTTCTGATGCCAAAGCGACATCAAATCATTGCACATTGTCATTAGAAGCTTTCACAGACAAATGCAGTGGCGAAACCAAGACACTTGCATTCAGTAATGTTATTTCGGTATAAATAGCACATAATTTCATCTGTTCCCTTAGCTTTGTTTTAGACTTCTTTGATCTATGCGGCAATATGCAGCAAAACCTCCTGTATTGCTTGGAAAATTTTAACCTTTGCACATGGTAAGGGAAAAGAGTAGCAGCATGGACTATCGGACTAAAGCCTAGAGACCCTTTCCTAACCAAACATGAGGGCTAAAATCTTAAAGTACGGGCATTCTTAAAGTACGGGCAAACTTCAAAGTGCATTTAAAAAAGGCTTTGAGTTATTGCTGAAATCCATAGTCAGTTTGCAAAACACCTGTTGTCTTGCAGAAAGACACAAATCTTATTTGTCCTAGTGCTATCATGATACTTCATGAACTGAGGTAATAAACTGGTTTCCAGTCTGCTTTTTTTTTTTTATAATAGCCTGTCAGTTCTGAAAAGGGTTCTGACTTGTCTGTTCTTTGTAATTTTCCATTCTGGAAACTAATGTGTCAAGCATGATTGCCCAAATAACGAGCATTTCTTCTTGTGTGCCAATAAGTGAGGATGAGGATGAGCACAGATGGAGCGCAAGACTGCACGGGCAGATCAAACTCAGCAAAAATCAAAGCTTTTAGATTACGTTTCTGGTTTCATGTGTGTATGGCATATAAGATTGCTGGAAAGCACTGCGTTTCATTGCAGTTGCCCCTTCTGGCTCCTGGCATGCAAATTCCCAGTTGCTCTTTCTTTACCGAGCGATCCCCTGCTCCGGAGAAGGTCTTACCCCAGCGGTTGGTTCTCAGTCAGGTTGTTAATGCCGGTCCCCCTGTGCTGGGAATTGCCTTGACGGGTGTTCCAGGGAGCTCAGCATCTCTTTTGTGGTCAAGCAGGTTTTTTCAGTGCACAGCCCTCAAGAGTTTTCCTGGCTTGATGCAAAACTAAGAGAGGCTGGAGAACAAGCCGCTGCTTTACGGATAAAAGTCTGGGATTAACCCTGGTCCCTAAAAAGGTGACCGACCCTGTCTGTCTCTGCACTAAAGGGCAAAGCTGCTATTTTGTTTGGTCTTTGATGTACTTAAATTCCTCAGAGCTAGGACATAGTTTAAAATCTGCCATTGTCAATTATCTAAGTATGTCTTAAGCTTGTGGGTGTCGTTTTGTGTGTGGTTTTTTTGGTTGATTGGTTTTGTTTTTAAGAGGACAACTTATTTTATGGCTGTATTTCTTAAATGTCAGTGAGGATTCAGACAAGCTCAGGGCATCTGATTAAAACTGTGTGCTGAAAATGTGACTGTTCTGAGTCATTTACCCTAAAAATCCTGAGCGACGGTTTCATCGCGAGGCAACAGTGTCCTGTCTGCACGCAGATCAGCTTGTGAACTATTACAGTTTTCAGCCTAGTGTACCGTGGTAAAGAGCGTATGCTTTGCAGGGGAAAATGGAAGCAGGACCGTAGGCGATAACAGATTCTCTCCTGGATGTTCTTCAACAGTTCAGCCCTTTCTGCATGTTTGAAAATGGAGCACATCATAAAAATGTATCGAAGGAAGTCGTGGCTCAGGGATTTCTGAAACTGCTTTTGGGTACGGTGGCTTCCCATTTCTCCCGTTCACAGAACTTAATTGTTGTGAAAAAAAACGTTTGATACTAACACAATTTTTGCTCTCTCTTACTCTTCTTTCACTTCCCTGTTTCTGCAACTGATGTGACTGGAACAATGTGCTTTCACTTATGTTTACTGTTGCGTTTTGCACTCAAGAACCACCAGAACAGGCACAAAAATTCAGTCTGATGAATCCCAGTGTTCAAACTTATTTGGCTGCCAGCATCAGGACAAAAGGGTGCAAAAGCGGAGAACTGCGCTGTTCTGTGTTTTGAATTTAATTAGTTCATTATTCTGAAATCAGTTTACAGTGAGATGAGGTCTACTCACAATAGCGGAAACGTAAAGTAGACCTTACAGCTTCTCTCTTCTCGGACTAGTGTTTTTTGTTATGATGTTTCTTGATCTCAAAATTCTAACAAAATGCTTTAGAAGTGTGTTTGCGAGAGAGCATGAGGCAGACCGGCATTTAAAATCTGTATTCTGCTTATGACAGGGGCTCTCCATCTGGCATCTGGAGTAGTTGATTTGCTTCAGTACCGTTTCCCAGAATCTGTTGATCAGCTTCCTGAGGACTGTGGTCTCTTTGATGGACAAAACCCCACGGTCTCGGAGTCCGGCAGCGTTAGTGACCTAGCAATGCTGCTGAGGGGCCACAAAAGGAAAACACTGCCTGTGGAATTTGGACCACGTCAGGTTTGCTTTTCCTAGGTATATGGCTTTTTGCAGATACTTCCAGGTCTGTTGCTAACTAAATAATTATTTTATATGGATTGCCCACAACTTTTTTTTTTTTTTTAAGCCCCTATATCTCACTGATAAATTAAGCTTTTTAAACTTAGAAGCCTGTGGGGGGTTGTTTCTTTCATCCTCATGCACATCTGGGTCTTTCTGTGCTCTTTTTTGCATCAGGTGTCTCCCATCCTATTCCTTTCTAATTCCAAATTTTCTTACACCAGATCTACGACGGTCTCCTCATACCATGCATTTGTCAGTCTTCTAGTGGCAGCTTTGCGGTATTTTTTGCGGGAATGTCTGTGTTAAATGTTGCCTGGTTTTGAGAACGCTCTTGCATTATCACGGTACATTTATACGCTTTCTCTATACAGCTGTTACCTTTTTTTTTTTTTTTTTGCTTCCTAATATGTTCTTTTTATTAACGTATTTAATGATAGGTGGTGTTAGTGGCAAAGGAGAAGATACCTGAGGAGCTCAGCTTGGCGCTCGTACCAGCAGTTTGTGAAGCACAGGGCTTGGAATTCGATGATGTCCTCCTCCTTTACAACTTTTTCACTGTCTCGGAGGTATTTAACTAACTCTTAAGTATTTTCTGCATTTTTTTTTTTTACTCCATGCCTTGATTTTACAAGTGATCTAATTGGCTTTCCAGCTAGGGAAGGGTTCACACTTTCCTCTTGAGGAGAGGTGGTTTCACCACAGTAGACAACGGGGCTCATCACAGGTGTAGGAAATGAGCCTGTCTTCTCTTTGTGCTGCATTTTCCTCCAGAGCGGCTGTTGCAATTTCAGGGAGAGCCTTGGGGTTCAGACGCGCCCCGGCCGCAGGCCCGGGCTGCCCCGCTGGCTTACGGCACGTCCCTCCCGCCCGCTCCCCGGCCGGGTCGGAGCGGTGGGGTTGGCGGGGGCCCCCGCACACCCCGGCGTAGCCCGTACCTGTACCGGGGCCTTGCGGCACCGCTCCGCTCGCACCGCGGCCGCACCGAGGGCGGGCGGGGGTCCCGCCGGCGGCCCCCTGCGCTCC